TACTGTTCTGTAAATCAGCAGCCTGACTAATTAATTTTTGGGGGGCTTATATAGGTTTGGAGTTTCAGTTGTTAATCTTGTTTTCATATTAGTGTTAGAGGTATGCCATATAGTTGTGTCAAACGTCTTAATCCCATGCCACTTGCTTTGGTTCAAAGGACAACAGGCTGGACTAGAGCCAACTAGAAGTGCTCCAAGATCTTCAGGTTTTAACCTGGTGCCCTAAAGATTCTGCACCTATGAAAAGCTTCTGTGTGATTGTTGAAGAGCACTTCTGGTTTTTAAGGACAGATTTCTTGTAAACTTAATTCCTTTGACCATTTAAAGGAAAATGGCTGTACTGAAAGATAGACTGTGATACTGGTGTGTGTCTCTGAGCAGAACCAAAGCTTCCTTATAAAGTTGGATTTTCTAATACATATAGCTTAAAATGGGAAAATTGTCACAGCATTCAACTAAGTGAATTATCTGTGAGACTTTGTAATTGTGGTTTATGGCTTGATTAATGAGGTGAAGAATACAGTCTAGATCTAAAATTTTAGTGTCTCTATTTCAATCTGAATAGTCTGTGCTTTAGAAACAGATGGCTTTTATTGCAGTAATTGAGTGTGATAGGAGCGACTGCAATTTGGAAAGTAGTGATTATTCTGAAACAGCAAGCAGAAAGCAAATATGACTGACACATAACCTGACCTTTGTGCTTACATGTCAAAAGGTATAGTACAGTTTTATTGCCAAGAGGTTGTGTCTTTGCAGCATGATGTTGAAAACATAGGGCTTAGTTTTTGAAGCTTAGTTGAATTTTGAATCAAAAGCATGCCTTGGGTTGGTTTGCTGTGAACAATAAATGAATGGAGCTGGAAGTAGTGTCACTTGTCAAATACTCTTGAAACATTTACAAACCATTCTGAACCCTGATTTTAATGTCTCTATGAAAAGCTAGATAACTGAAGAAGCTTAAAGTGGGAAGTGATGAGACCACGGAGTTCCCATCATGCATATGAGAAAATGGTTTTAAGCACTCTCTGAAACTGAAAACTGCTTTTTCAAAGTGCAGTCAACAGCCTTTGAACCTGCAGGATGTTTTCAGTGGACTTTGTTAAATATAGGCCCAGAATCCCACTAAATATATATATATATATATATATTTGTAGACACTTAATTATTGGCATAGAAACAGACAGCAGGAAGGAGACATTAAGTATATGTCTGAGAAAACTATTACTGAATGGTTAACATGAGCAAACTGGTGGAGTGAATGATTGCTGGAGAAGGCTTTAAACTTGAAATGTCTGGAAAGCAGTCAGGCTATGGAGGTAGGGAGCTGGAATGTATTACTATTATTATTATTATTGTTTATTTTGAAGTAGTTAGATTCGGTTTTAATTAAATCCAAAAGCTGCTAATCTGACATCAATTACCTACAAGGAACAACATGCCTTAAAATGTAAAGAAAGGCCAAGAAGAATAAATAAAAACAATGAAACCAGTTCTTGTGGTATTTATGAGCTAAAACATAACAGAGCACCAGGTTCAAACATGAAGAGTCGTGTATTGTGTACTTTCTCAGGTATAAAAAGGGTTGGGTTTTGGAGTTTTTCTAAGACAAATGTGCCACTGAGTAAAATCTTCCCATGCTGAGCTGGTAAAGCACAGCACTGAAGAATCTAGTTTTAACATTCTTGGTTATTTCCCCCCTGTTTTTCTTTCTCCCCTCTGCTATAACTTACTTAAGTTGAAATACAAATCCAAAGCAAATGCAGAACAAGCTCCAAATCATTAAAATATTGGGCTAGGATCCAATTCCCGTGAAAAAATATGAGGATTTTATTCTATGCCATATTACCAAGGTATGACCAGTGTTTGGTCTGCAGTCCAGTGCTTCAGATTTGGTTTGAGTGAGTCAGTGTGTTTTCACTTCTGTAAAGCTAAATGCCTGTCTGTTAGTCACACTGTAGATCATTGACTCTCAATTATTAAACTGAAAAGATTTTGGGTGTAAATAATGTTGCCTTTGGTGGAACACAAAATGAGCAGCTTAAATGACTGAAGGATTCTGCCCTAGAGAGACCCATCAGAAAACCCAGAAACTTTGATACACTACTATAAGAGAAACAGAAATTCACAGGAAGCCTTAAAAGAACCAGTGTGACATGACTGCAGCGTGGTCAGTGAGGCGTAAGGGATAGTGTGGTAACGGCTGCACAGCATCGATGCAGAGAGGATGGCATCCTATTTACTGCAGTTGTTACCAAACAGCTGAGCCCTTTTTGGGGAATTCCTGGGTTCAATAACATCTCTTTCTGTTTCCTACCTGTTAGTTTTGTGTTTGAGAAGGACAAAATCTATTACAAATCAATTAGATTCAAGTAATCTGAACCCTTCAGCAAGGATAATGACTTGTTTCAGGTTCTTTCACTTCAATTTGTGGCTTTGGGTAAATAAGTGTTACTTAAAAACATCCATGTGAAAGTATTAAGCACTGGGAGGTTTTTCTGGTTTACTTCAAAGTGGAATTTTTATGTATTTACCAGCCTTTTTCTTCCCTTTCTTGTCTAGAGATACATTCTAGCTGCATATCCAAACAAAGCTATTCTGTCTTACTAAATGAGTGAATAATGTTCTGGAAGGACATTTGATTTCTACAACAGCACAATTCACATCTGTTGGTCTCATTGTTACGGTTTCATGCTGTTCCTGATGATTCATGGCAAAAGGCTTTTTGTTTTGATTCTTAGTCCTGGCAAATGCTAATTGCAGAGGTGTTCAGGTTATTTTTTATCAACTGCTTCTATCTGCACGGCAGCTGAAGAATAAGGAAGTTTCTGAACCCATCTTTTCAAAAGTCTTTTGGGAAACCCAGGAGATGCTTTCATAAACAGCAGCTGGGAATAATGTATTTGTCAGATTTATCTTGTGCATGTCACAGAAAAAGTAGTATTTTGCATTATGTGTGTAGCTAAACTTGCAGTAGTTTATGGTCTGTGGTGCAAAGCGCAGTAGCAGGTTTATTCAGCTGTGTATCCTCTAGCTATGCAATGCTAATTTTCTAGGCTTGGTATGTCTTTTAACAGGATGATGGATGTCCATTCGCTGTGTGGGATGTGTCAGTGTTTGCTAAACATGGTTTGTGCCTCTTCAGGAACTCTAGATAAGCTAGTGGAGGTATTTCACCCTATGGGCAATAGCAGCAGTAGCACAGGATGCAGGAATGAGTTATGTGATGTTATACAGGGTTTGTTCTGCATGTTTTATGTTTCCAAGAATTTCTGAAATGATGGAACTTGTTCTTTCAGCACAAAACCAGTTTCAGTGTTACCTGCTCAGTGTCCCAGGACTTTGTCTATAGGTTTGGGTGGTTGTGTTGTGTGTTTGTTTGCGGTTTTTAAATTATTATTAATATTTATTTTAATTTGTGGTTTGTAGATTTGACTGTTTCCTAATACTGATGGAGAACTGGAACACTCTAGATGATAAATGAAAAAAAGTCTCCCAAAACTGGTGGCAATACACTGGGGTTTTGTCTGTGTGTCTTTCCAAGATAAGAGCCTCAATTAAAAAGACACCTACAGGAGCATCATCAGCACTGGCATCATCCCTTTTCCTCTGCTAAAGATGTGCTGAAATCTGAAGCAGCAGTTAGGGCCCTCTTCTGCATGCGTTTGGTTTTCCATGTCAGTGTGTTTTTCTTACTCCCTTGTTTTGCTTACGCTCAGAAGATAGAGCACGTCTCTCTCTTTCAAGGTACAAGACTCACTACATTTCAGAATGTTTTTCAGAGCTAGTTTCCGTGCTTTTTAAACTTTATTTGAAGGACTTCATGAATAAATGTTCAATTCAAGAAGTTAACTATGACACAGCAAGGAAAACGTGAGGAAAAACACATTTACCAGTGAAACTGTGTTGCTTGGCTGCACAGTGTGACTACTGAATGCACACTTCTAGAATAACATTTAACAAAACAAAAGCCTTTCTTGTAGTGTTTATAATTATACAATTAGTGGGTGCAGTACTGAAGCACAGCAGCCATAAGCCAATGACCCTGACATCGTGGTGGACATTACTAGGGGTCAGCTGCAGCTACACAACTGCTTCCAGTTTTGGGTTTTACCCAACCTAACTGAAATTAACACACCCATTTTGACCAAGAAGACTCTCAATGCTAGACTTGAGCTTAATTTTACATAGTTGAATTGCTCCCTGGGGCAGATCAGCTTAGCAGTAGAAATTATATTATGTAGCACAGAAGGTTGTTTGCAAAAACTACAAAAGGTGCAATAAAGATGTGAGCTAAGTTATATGTGTGCATGTGTAGACATGTTTAAGTATACTTACAAGACATACTTCCCTTAAACGCCGCAGTGCTGCTTCAGCTCATGGAAAGCAGATATTGTAGCTCGATCACAAGGCCCAGGCATGTTATGGGAAGGAGTAAATGGGACCTGCCTGCGTTCTGCTGGATGCTGACTGCATAAGTGGTCTAGGCAGAGGAGGCTGTTATCAGTTGGAAGAGGCTGGAACACAAAAGATAAGCCAATTCTTGCACCATCTGCTGCTTTATATAAGAGGGGGACACGTGTATCTGATACAAGAGCTGTCTATGAGTCAGAGATGATAAGGAAGGAAGAAATAATAGAGGCAGTAAAGCTAGGGAACAGAGGAAGACAACAGCATTTAGTCTGTGATGTATGAAGGAAAGGGCAAAAAATCCTAGTTCAGCCTTCTTTCGTTAGAGAAAGAAAACTCTTTAAGCATATATATGGTCATGATAATGAACAGAACAGACTATTAAACCAACCTGAAGGGAGCCTGAGACATCTGCTTTGAATGGACTAAGCTTAAGTAATATGAAAGGTCTTTGTAACCTTGTATGAACAAATTGCTCTTACCGTGTGCACTTCACAGGGTACTAATGACAAATCCCTTTTTTTTGAAGATCAGCTGCTTTGAAATCTGTACCTGTGTGTATAGTGTACACCTGCAAGCTGCTCTAAGAGTTGCATGACTGTCTTCCCCACAGGTATAGATTATAAGACTACAACGATACTTCTAGATGGCCGACGAATCAAGCTGCAGCTCTGGTAAGTGTGTGCTCCACCTTCCCAAAGAATTTCTGTTTCAAAGACACATAAATGCAACTCTTCAGGGCAGGAGTTCTCCTTTATGCTTCAGAAATAGTCGACCATGGAAGAATAAGCCAGGCAGGTAGCCCTTTGAGGAAGTCACGCTTTGTCTTGACCTCCATTTTGCATCCATTTCATGTGAAATGGGGACCCTACAGTTTCTCTGCTTGAGAGACGTGTCACAAATGCAGAAGAAAGGCATGAAAGATAACAAGTGTCTTCAAGATAAATTCAAAGTGCCTTCAAAGATTGTAAAATATCCTGGTAGTAAGAACCACGACAGTACCTGAGCATACAGTGCTGCACAGCAGCATCCCTTTGCTCACATTATTAGCAGTAATAGTCAAATAACCATAGTATTATTAAATCAAAAGCAATATCAATAAAAAGCAGCAGTATCCCTCATAATGTAATTGCTATGCAGTCTGATGTGATTTGATCCTTACAAAAACATGTTGATGACAAATAATACTATTTTATAGCAAATGTCTTTCGTGTAAGGTCAGATGTTTGGTATGTCAGGGTGCTCTTGTGTCAGGACGTTTGAAGATGGCATCTTTTGGTTCAGTTAAAAGCAGCGAGTGATACAACTTGAAACATGCAGCAATGTTACTGCCTCTTAAAGACATCGTTTTCCTCTTGAACTCATGGCATAACAGAGGGAGAAGTAAGGTCAGTGCAGGACAAGGAGATGGAGTGTGATTTCTGGGGAACCATAATCTAGATAAATAGAGACAGGTTCTAGGAACAGGCAGTGTTCAGATAGAGCATTGGAGGTGAAAATGAATTATGACGACTATATCCTTTTCCTCCCAGAAAGAGATAATCCTGTGCCATCTCTATCTTAAATGTAATTCTGGTGTTTGTTTTGGGTTTTCATCACTGCAGTTAAACACCTGTGTGTCAAAACTAAGCTGGTTTTAATTTATTTTTCATTAGTTGTTTCTGTCTTTATGATTTTCAAAATAATGTTTTAAGTGTTAAATGCACTAATGGATAACAGTACTTTGCCATATGGCATCTCCATTACTTGATATTTTGTTCACCTACTTTATTTTTTCTTCTGTCTTCCAGTTTATAGCTTAGATAAGCTTTGTGTGGTGTAAAAATGCTGAGAAGCAGCCAGGAAGGAGATGTTTTTATTCTTTTCCTGAAGGGCAAGGATGTTCTTTGAGCTCCTTAAAATAACAGATTGCAAACGTTTCTGCGGTTCACCATATACAGAAATATGGGCCTTGCATTTGTAATCTGCCTCAAAAAGTCTATGGAATTTTGCTTCTTACCATGTTCTTCACTATAAACTTGATTTTGCTTCCAAGCACTTTATGCAGAGATTATTCTGTGTGTGTGTGTGCATGCTTTTTTAAAACCCTGTGCTATGACTCTGTAGGGATACCTTTGTCACATGAGACTCGTGATGAGTGATTGCTGCTGTAATCAAGAGTTTACTGGGTTTTCCATTAGTTTCCTTGGTGATAACAATTGTTTCCTCCCACTCTGCTGTGAAAACTGAAGCTTTCTTCTAGCTGAACTAAACGCGAAGTGCGTACGAGCACTAGTGTAACAGTCCTTGTGTCCAAGGGCAATCATGGGTAAAGTTTGAGGTTCTTGTCCTCTTATCTTGGGAGAGCTGAGAAATGTAGAGGAAAGGGCAGAATGCCAGTGGGGAAAAACTGCTGAGAGGGAGAGGAGCTCTTGGTGCATGAGTGACTGCTGCTGCCTGACTCATGGAGGAAGAGCTGACAGTGATTGGTACAGATGAGTTGCTGTAGCTGACCTCTTCCCATGGGAGGCCACCTCTTCTTTTAAAAATATATCTAATTTATTTTATTTAGGGATACATCAGGGCAAGGGAGATTCTGCACCATATTTCGGTCTTACTCACGAGGTGCTCAGGTAAGCAAAGCACAACTTCCTCAGTGTTGAGTAATGGTTGCTGCATGAATGAAAGAGCTGGTGAACCATCCGGATGGCTTCTGTAAGTCAGTTGCAGATTGCATGCAGGTGCAGTAATACTCGAAAAAAACATGAAACATGGGCAATAATAAGGCACAGAACTTTAGTTTGGGGAGGGGAAATACCTGAGATTGAAGTTGAATCACTAAAATACAGTAATACATATTCTTATGCCTTCTTGTTGGTTACCTCAGTAACTTAAGCACATACTGTACTTGGATCATGTGAAAGCTTTGCTAATACTACTGTTTAAAACCGTGTGCCAAGTAAGAGAAACATACCATAAAACTGGCAAGAGTAATGTGAAAAATACAAACATAGTCTAAAATGTGATGAAATGCAATGACTTGTAAGGAAATTACTTAAAAAAAAAAAAAAAAAGAAGACAGACACACTAAAAGTGCCCAAAGCATCAGGGTTTAGAGTATTGCAATAGTTCATGGCACATACTGGGTTCTGCTGAGTTGCATCGTACGTTCCAGAACTGCAGAGAGTATCGACTCTTCAAGTTACTCAGTGTGACCCAAAGTACATTTTTGGTATGATTTTGATGTGTGTGTGAGCCACCAAACCTGTCCACCATAGAAAGAAATATTTACCATTACATTGGACCCTACAACTAAGTCGGGTTTTCAGCCCCTTGGCTGATGTATAATCCACACAGAGATGGGGCTTGGTCTCACAGGATGCTCCACTGAAAAGCTGATCAGCAGCTTACAAAATTATTTCAGAACTGGAGAATTTACAGGTCTGTGTTTCTCTGTGTTAATGCCTCTGTTAAACTTCCATTTTTTAACTTACTCTTTTTAATACAGGGAGTTATACTAGTGTATGATATTACAAATCGTTGGTCATTTGATGGAATCGATCGATGGATAAAAGAAATAGATGAGGTAAGGTACAGATGACTAAAGCTGCTTATGATGTTTTCTACTGTTTTTACTGGCATTTGCAGGCAGTGCTTACCACAGAGCTACCCAAAATGCCAAGTTTACAATTCTCTTTCTATGTTTATAATTCTAAGAAGTTGGAAACATAACAGCCAGACTGTCTGATTTCTTTAAAGGTGTTGATGGAAAGCATATGGAGGGCAAAGAATTCATATTGTAGTCCCACTCTTGCTATAGATTTGCCACATCATCTGTGCCAGCCTGTCTCCTCCAAGGAAGGGATGTTTTTAGATCGAAGAGTCATAGAATAAGCTGGAAGGGACCTCTAGAGATCTAAGACCAGTTCTCTAGATCTTAGCCTAGTACTTAGTATTTAATCTTGACAAAGCTTTTGCATGTTTTAATTGAAGGTGGAAATGGAAGCCAAACTGTTAATGTTTTTCTTGCTTCTCTTTGCTCAGCACGCTCCTGGTGTACCAAAAATCCTGGTTGGAAATCGCCTTCACTTAGCCTTCAAGCGCCAAGTGTCCACTGAACAAGCACAGGCCTACGCTCAGAGGCTGGGCATGACCTTTTTTGAAGTCAGCCCACTTTGTAATTTCAATATCACAGAGTCCTTCACTGAGCTAGCGAGAATAGTGTTGATGAGACATGGAATGGACAGGCTCTGGAGGCCAAACAAGGGTAAGCCACGTACACTGAAAATGTGTAGATTTAGTCCAAGCTAAGGTTTATGGTGCATTAATATGAAAGGATTTCCAGAAACTTTAACCCAGATGCAGAAATATGAAAGAAGAAGAATTGGGAATCCTGTACTAAACAGAAAACATGTATCTGCAGGCACAACCTGTTCTGCTTTTGTAGGGAATAACGTATCTTTCCTAGAACTGACATGTTCAGTCATCTCGGTATTAATACCTAAGCAGGAAACTGAAGCAGGAGGTATTTTGGATAGTGTATATGTGGGAAAGGGTGTGGGAGGAGAGATGAGAATTCCTCCTGGAAGTAGAGTGCATGCAGAGTGCTGGGTGTGCTGCTACCTCATGGCTGACAAAAGCATGCTATTATAATGCAAGTTTTATGTCTGTTTTTAAGTACTGAGCCTGCAAGACCTTTGTTGCCGTGCCGTAGTTTCCTGCACCCCTGTGCATCTTGTTGACAAGCTCCCTCTCCCCGTTGCCTTAAGAAGCCATCTCAAATCTTTCTCCATGGCAAATGGCCTTAATGCCAGGATGATGCATGGACGCTCATACTCCCTCACATCCAGCAACATCAGTAAAAGGAACAGCTTAAAGAAAGCTAAAATCATCCGTCCACCACAGAGCCCACCAAAAAACTGTGTGAGAAACAGCTGTAAAATTTCTTAATCTCTCTGTGGCAAAAAGGGAACCTGGATGGAATCTCCTCGTGCGAAGCACTGAACACAAGACGCAAGGACTCCTTGTTTAATGGTTGAGCACATTCTCTGTACGTATCCCACTACACAGATGAAAAATAAGAAGAATAAGTCTGATTTTAGAGCTTGCTCACTACAGTAATGCTGCTTTGGAGTAAGCGACATGTTCAGTGCACCTGAAAGGATGTGACATTTTGCTGTTGGATTTTCATACTGCATCTGAATTTCTGACGTGCATGTGCCATTGGCTTTACTAGTAGATGTGTTTTCATATAGGGGATAATTATCGTCATCATTCAATGCGTAATTCCATGAAATCTGGACAGTGACTGTGTAAATTGTATAAAATCCTGTCTTTTTGCAAACTGTTCAAAAATGTAAGAATGAGTCATCTGCATATCCAGGCAGAGGGTTTTAAATGCAATGTATTGTATACATTGTGCAGTTCTACACATGCTGTGACAAATTCCAGTAGTGCTGCAGTGGTGCATTTGGATTTTTTGTAAAGCTTCCTTGATAACTTTGAAGCACTAACTTAAGTCAGCTAAAAATGTATATATTAATTATTATGCACATACACAACAAGGTTTTGTCCCATTAGTGTATGTAATAGATTTGATAAAGTTTTTGGTATGTTATTTAATACTTTGGGGAATTAATTTGTGGTTTAAATACTTATTTTTCTGTAAAAAAGAATTAAAATCTACATTTTATACCACTCCTCAAGAAGGTTCTAAGAGGAAAATGCCAAAGACTGTGCTAAAAAGGAACATGAAGAGCTGCTTTATAAGGAAAGAGTAATATTTTAAAAAATAAATAAATGTTTCTGGAAAAGAAACCCTATTATGCTTGCTTTAATTGGGGAAGGTTGGCTTCATTCTCCTTTAGAAGAATTTGAAGAACAATATGCCTGAACTAGACACCAGGACTGTGAAGTCATCCTAAAAGCTTCAGGTAATGCTTTTCATACAAATCCGTCTTCAACAGTGTTAACAGAAATAGGGACGAATAATGTACATTAAGTCTTCCACTTGTGAAGGAATTGTGTGATTTGTTCTCCTCAGCAGCAAGTGTTTGGAGGTGATGGTGTAGCTCCATCCCAGTTTCTTCTAGGTGTCTTCACTACCGTGTGATACACGAAGCTGATTTTCCTTCTGGATCAGCCTCTGCAGGCGAGTAGGGAAAACTCAAGCCAGTAAAATGCCAGTTCTGCCAGGCCCTGGACCAGTCAGAGCATCACTGCTTAAAGAGCGCAAGCGGCAACAAAGCTGCTCGTAGTTCAGACTAAGTGGCAACGTGCAGTGGAAGGAATTCCTGGCGGGGCTCCCTCGGTGAGCAGCAGGCTCCGCCTCCTGGTCTGCCTGCGGCGGGGGGGCTGCAGGGAAACGCTGCAGCTCTGCCAGGATGAAGCTGTCGGGCTGCAGGAACTGCATCTCCACAGCTTGAGAAGAGGTATACAGCAGCCTGCGGCTCCGAGAGGTGAAACCAGAACCCGGGCACCCAAACCTTGGGAGCGGTCTGACTATGTGCAACAAGTGGCTGCAGGCAGGCTGAAGAGCTCTCTCCATGCACATGGCTATGAAGTTTCTTCCAAGTTATAATCCTGGCCTCTTCAGTCACCAGGTCATTCTTTCTTTCCTTTCCGTATGTGATATGCAGTAAGAATGCC